CTGGGATTACAGGCGCATACCACCATGCCCAGCTAATTTTTGCATTTTTAGTAGAGACAGGGTTGCACCATGTTGGTCAGGCTGGTCTCGAACTCCTGACCTCAGGTGACTCATGCGCCTTGGCCACCTAAAGTGCGGGGGTTACAGGCATGAGTCACTACACCTAGCCCATTGCCTGTATCTAAAAACATTTAAAGTATCGCTAATTTTGTCCACCTTTACGATTTATTTAAAAACTAATACCAACTTCAGTTTTATAAATTTTTAAATAAAATCTTTTCCAACTCATCTCTGCTGACGTGGTTGGTATTTTGCCATCTGACACTGTTGGTTACAGTGGAGGCCCACACTACTTATGAATGTCATGGTATGAGGGTGGACATCCTGAGGATGAAAATACTCAGCAGTGCATGCCAGTCAATCTGTAAGGAATAAGCAAGGTGTCTCAATGACTCGGAGGACCCGAAAGATGAAAGGGGAGGAAGAGAAGTGAGCATTACCTTTAAATACGGGATGCTCTCAGCAATCTTGTTCTGTGCCTTCAGGATGAAGCCATAATGAACTTTAGCAAAGCCATCATTAGGTGCCACACTCAGCACCTAAACTCAAAGAAAACACAGACATAACTCAAAGAAAACCCAGGTGATTGCTTAAAAAATTCTACAAATGACTGTCAAGACCAATTTTAATTAGCTCTGTTGTACTTGGATTGGATTATGATGTCATAGCTGAAAACACCATAGTGCTTTGTCTCATGGCAGTATCATTAAGCTTAAATGGCTCCATTTCCCCTCAACTCAATATGCTTTTCACATTCACACAATGGCTCTTCAAGAATGAAGAAATAAATGAAAAGTAATAACCATAAAAGCATCACTTTAACAATGCAAATCAGCAAAGTATCTCTGAATTGATATGACTTCAATATTTTTTAGTGATCAAGGGAAAATGGCTTTAAATTTGCTATACTTGAAGACAATTCTGAATGGTTATTAGACATCACTTCATATACAAGCTTTATGCACTGCCTTAATTAAGAGGAAATTTACATTTGCATTTGTAATATATCACAATGCATTCATTCAACAGAAAACTTCTTGAGTGCCCAGATCATTTTAAGCCCTGAAGAGAAAATGGTAAGCAAATCCAATATTCTGTGATAAAACCCAGGTAAATATTTCATATAAAACACATCATTGTTTATTATTATTATATGTATTCATTATGATTTAAAGACAAATTATGCAAAGCACCTCTAAATTAAATATTAATAGTGAGAAACCAGAACAACAACATCCAACTTGTGAAGCTACTTAGACAAAATAATTTATGGAACAAAAGAGGATGAAGAAGGTTTGATTTGGGTGCAGACAAGGAAAGATGCATCTCCCATCTCTTCTCTCCATTCTTGAGCCTGAATAGAAAAAGGGAAGTCAGCCACAGCGGGGCTACAATGGGTTACACAGAAGGAACAAGTGTGCACAGAGGGGACACCAGGCCCTCGGAGGGCCCACACAACACACACTGCAGATGCTTTAGCATTTTCAGCTTGCATCTGGTCCTGCGCCTCATGGATTAGCAAATCTGGCCAACACTACCTTCAAAATACATTCAGAAACACACCATGCATCACTTCCTTCACCATTCCACCCTGACCCAAGAGAGGTGTCTCATCATCTCTCTCTATGTTCTCACGGGAGCCTGCTTACTGCAGATCTTCGGCACCCCTGGCCCTGCCCCTGTGTAGTCCACTCTCCGCTTGCTAAATCCTAGGTCAGCTCTCAACCCTCCTCTATTGCACTGCACTCAGAATGACTGCAAGACAGAGTTCCTGGAACTACCACCAAGGCCTCCCTTGGCTGGGCCTCTCCAGTTCTCTGGCCTCCTCTCGTGCCCCTGCCGCTGCCCCTCCCAGCCAAGCCTCTGAGGCACGTTGGACCCCTCGCTGCTCCACAGCAAGCCAAAGATACCCCTGCCTCAGGGCCTTTGCACCCACAGTACTCCTCTGGTACAAACTCTTCCACCAGACATCCCCACAGCAAACTCCTTTTACTCCCTCACTACTAAAATAGAGCCCCTCCATCCCTAGTCACTGTCCAACTTCTTTACCTTGACTCACTTTTCTTCATAGCACTTATCACTTCTGACCTAGCATATTTTTATTGCCCCCACTAAGATGCAAGCTCTACAGGGATTTTGTCTGTTTTGCTCATTGCATAGCCCCACTCCCTGCTATGCATTTCATAGCATTCAGGTGCCCGACTAAATGCTTGAAAGAGCACATGCTGCACTTTCCTCCCTAACTAGATCTCTGAAAGCCCAGACTAGCCCACTGTCCCCAGGCTAGACATTGAGCAGGAGCTCAATAAATACCTCCGGAATTGAGCTAAATTGGCGCAGATGATGATTCTGCCAGCACAACCATGAAGGGATTCTTATAATTATTACAGCTATACAGATGCCATTTCTGCCCACTGCAGGCACACAGCCATTATCTCAAGTAATTAACAAATTTATTGATTTACTAGACATCTTAGAATACACAGAACTCTTCCAGGCCCTGGGCACAGAAAGATAAATAAGATACACTCTTTTCTCAGGGGGCTCTCACTCAAGTGAGGGAGACAGATTCAGAAGTAGACTGATTCCGAAGGCAATGCAAGATGGTAAGGGTAGCTATAGTTAGGCATGAAGCATGTGGTGGGTATACAGGAGGGGCACCTGGCTCACTCTAGGGTGAGTGTCAGTAGGGCCAAGGTTTGAAAGGTTTTAGGGATAAACAGGAGTTCACCAGGAAAAGGAAGTGTGGGACGGTGGAGGAGAAGGCATTCAAACGATAGCAGAACGTGAGTAAAAAGGGATAGCGGGCCAGGAAGAAACAAAGAGAATGTTGTTAAATTAAAAACAAAAGTGATAGGAGAAGGGACTGGAGAAAAGGCAGAGGTCAAACTAAATCACCAAGGCTCCCGTTTAGTATCAAGTGCAAGGTAACCTCCTGGGGAGTAGGCAGAAATTACATACCCTTCTACTTGTATCTGTCTCTCAAACAGTGTGAAGCAAGCTCTGTGGCTTTCCTGTGATCTGCACAGTGGACAGCCACGTGTCCCGTTCAGTACAAACCCTCTCAGGAGGCGAGAATGGGGGCTCAGGCCCCGGGAGAGCTGACAGTGCTGCCCTCCCTGCTTGCTGCTTTGTACTTAGGTACCGCTCACTGCAACTGACATGCGGATGTGTAATGGGCGTGCAGGTTGCATTATCTAGTCGTAATCAACAAGCCCTCGGAAAATGACAAGTGGTTTTATGAGATTTCTAAAAAACACAGATTGAGGCTACAGTTGCCCTTTGAACAACATGGGCTTGAACTGCATGGATTATCTTCTGCCTCTGCTGCCACTGAGACATGACCAACTCCTCCTCATCCTCCTCCTTTTCCTCAGCCTACTTAACGTGAAAACAGTGAGGATGTAAACTTTAATCATCCACTTCCACCTAATAAATGGCAAATATATTTTCTCTTCCTTATGATTTTTAAAGTTGCTTTTTTATTTTTATAGGCACGTAGTAGGTGTGTATATTTATGGGGTACACGAGATGTTTTGACACAGACAGGCTAAGCATACTGATTACATCATGGAAGATGGGGTGTCCATCCCCTCAAGCATGTATCCTTTGTGTTACAAATAATCCAATTATTTTAGTTACCTTATGGTTTTTAAAATAACATGTTCTTTTCTCTAGCTTACTTCATTGTAAGAATATAGCAAATACTACATACACAAAATATGTGTTAATTGACTGTTTATGTTACCCGTGTGGCTTCTGGTCAATGTAGACTGTTAGTAAAGTTTTTGGGGATTCAGAAAGCACACATGGATTTTCATCTGCACGGGCGGTCACCATCCCTAACACCGGTGTTGTTCAAGGGTCAACTGTAATATTAGATTCTCTCTTTCTCTCGCTGTATAAAACACACATATCCATACACAAACACAAATCACAGACAAAAACAGCCACAACCTCATACAGCTGACATTTCTATCCCCAGTACAAACTCTTTGCATGATACATTCTTGGGATTTAAAAAAGTTATATAATCGTAAATAGCACCGCACATTGATATTATTTACATATTAGTTTTTCGGCAAGAGTTAAAAGATTTTCTGGCAGTTAAATAGAATTTTTAAAGTATTTTAAATACTTGACAACATCTTAATTGCTTTGGGGTGTGTACCTTTTGTAAGGCACATATATATTGGTGCATATATATATATATATATATATATATATATATAAAATATTATGTGGGTACATGCATGCACACATATATACCTGTAAGTACATCAATACATCGCAGGCATTTTCTTGAACATTTTAGTCTGGAAGGGCCTCCATCAAGCATGTGTGAAGTCCACTGCTGCAGGAAATGAGAACTACGGAAGGTTTAAAGCCAAGGGAGATGATCAGTGTTGTGTTTTAATGTTGGTGAAGGTCGAGGGAGACCAAGCCAGGGCAGGATAAACCTGTCCCCACTCAGGCAAGAGATGACGGGTGCTTGGGTTACAAAGGGAAGGGATTTGAAGGTTAATCAGAAGTTAAAATGAACAGACATTAACACGAACAGAGATTTGTGATTCGGTACAAGATTATTAACTTCACGAGGGCACATTCTGCTTGCATTTCATGAACTACTGATCTCTAGCTACTGTGTGTGTGTGTGTGTGTGTGTGTGTGTGTGTGTCTTAATAGATGTAGTGTTGACTGATTGAGCGGGCATAGGTGAGTGGTGGCGACTGAGTCAGGAGTGGCGTGAAACTCCCCACTCTGATGCCTGCGCAGCTGCGAGTGTTGCCAACTTGCAGGAGAATCCCAGGAGAGGACACAAAAAGCCACAGACTGGAGCAGTGGATGTCACACCATTTTAAACCCAGTTTTTTCCTGTTGAAACTAACGGCAGCAAAAAGCTGGAAAAATATAAATTTCAGTAATTTTTATAAACACAAAAATAAAAATTAACATGGAGAAAAATATAAAATTACAATATCTGTCTTCCAAAAATGATCTTTAACATTAGCTCATCAGGAAAAACTCTGGTTAATGAGAGACTCCATTAGACATAGCTTATGAACTGAAAAGTGAGAGGAGTGGAAAGAAGGCAACCCCACACATAGTGTCAGTTTACTAATGCTGCTTTTAAAAAGAAATGCACTCAATTGCATCATGCGGTTTTATTTTAGACTTTCTGCCTCCTATTATGAATATTCAGGTGACATTATGATGTAAAATGTAAAAACAACAGCAGGTAAATTTTATTTTTTGGCATGAAGTAAAATGTTTCACATATCTGAGATTTAGCTTCAGGTAAAGGGATGAATATCCTGATGGAAGGGTTTTAAAAGGTGAGGAAGGACAAATCCACAGTGGGTTAGAGAAGCCAGTATGCTGTCAGATCCTGCCCTAACCTCAAATGTGCTTGCAGCCAGTCAACACTCTAGAGTGTTTTTTAGGTGGAAAGAAAGAAGGAGAAAGGGGGGGGCAGGAAGGTAGGAAGTAAGAGAGGGAGGGGTAGAGGGACAGAAGAAAGAAAACAGGGAAGAATTCTACAAGGAAAGAAGGGAATGAGGGGGAAGGGAGGGAGGAAGAGGAAAAGGGAAGAAGGAAAGAACCAAGGAAGGAAAGAAGGGAGGGAGGAAGGGAGGGGAGCGAGGGAGAGAAGGAAGGAAGGGAGGGAGGGAGGAAGGAATTCTATAGTTCCACTTTTTGTGGCCTCTGACAGTGACAAAATAATGTATGTATTTGTTATAGCTTCACAATTCTTACATTCACAAGATCCCGAATCACTGAGGTATATAATGCTTCTCTTAACCGTACTTTGTAAGAGAAGACATTGAGTGTTATGTGCTGGCCATTAACAAATACAATGTTCCATATGGAATTAATTTATGACTTGGAATCGGTCTTTAGTAAACGGCACACGTTGTCAACATGAAAGGTTCAATCCACCCTGTGTAGCTATTAGTGATGTTATAAAAAGCAAAGGTCTTACTTCTGCTCTCTCAGAAAATATAAAAATTATGAGAAAGGTAAAAAGACAACTGCTCCCAAATTCAATGATTTTCATTACACGACGACAGCAATACACAGAGGAAAGTACCGCTTTGAGAATAGACCCAGTCCCTGCCAGAGTATGAAATTACTGTTCTTGACAGCATTTAAAAACTACTTTAAAAGGAGCTGAGTGAGATGACTTGTGCCTGTAATCTCAGCTCTTTGGGAGGTCTGAGGCAGGAGGATCACTTTTGGCCAGGAATTTGAGTCTAGCCTGGGTAACACAGGGAGACCTCCATCATCACTAAATAATTTTTTAAAATTTAGCTAGGCATGGTGGCATGTGCCTGTAGTCTGAGCTACCTGAGAGGCTAAAGCAGGATTGCCTGCGTCCAGGATGTTGATGCTGTGATTTACGATCATGTCATACACTCCAGCCTGGGCAACAGAGTGAAACTGCACATCAAAACAAAACAAAACAAAAAACAAAAAAACCCAAAACAAAAAACAAAAACAAAACTGTAGCAGGAATAACTGACTATCACTAAGTGGTGGCTTCTTGATGTAGACTTCACCAGCTTGAAAACCACTAATCAAAGAGCCTAAATTAAAGAATCACAAGTAAACATGTTCATCTTTCTTTTAGAGGCATTCACTTTCTCCATCTTCAAAGTTCACTGGGCATCCTGTTTATACTGTACCAAATGAATTCCTCCATTGCCTAAAGGAATCACATTCCTCTAGATTTTACAGATACTTGTGTCTTAGAGGTTATCTATCAATATCTGCTATAAAGTACGAATCCTTTGAAAGGCATCCTTGCCAGAGGATTTGAAGAGTCAATGCCCTGCTGAAAAGTGAGTAATTTATGTCACATGCTTGAAAGGCCCCTGTTCTATAGCCTCTCTCTAGACCATAGTTCCGGAAAAAAAAAAGAGTGTATGAGTGTGTGTGTGTGTGTGTGTGTATGTGTGTTACATTCATAGGAAGTTAAATTCGTCTTCCTGTCACAAGGAACAATTTTAGAAAGGTTATTTATGGAAAGATAAATATGAAGTTTTAAAAGCATCACAATTACAAGTTGAAGATTTTAGTGTACTAAATGTTAACTAAGATTTAAAAATCTTCAGATCTAGGAAAAAAGCAACTGTTAAAACAAAGTTTAGTATATGTTCAATATAATAATACATGCTTTTCAACTTAATTCAAAATAAAAAGAGGCTTGGTCTAATAAATGTAATTTGCAAATAGCCTTAGAACTTAATTTGACGTAGTTAATACAGGATTGATGCTCACCTCTTCGTAAACCTTCTTTGCGTTATCATTATCTCCTATCAAGAGGTATCCCACGCCAAGGTCATTTTTTAAAGACGTATCATTGGGAAATAGATGAACTAATCTCTGTAGGGTAAGCAGGGAACCTCTCATATGACCTGAATTTGTGGGAATTAAAAAAAAAAACAATAGAAATAGAAACAGATTATGTACACTTTTGTACGTAAGTCGTGAGAGACTATGCTCCAGAGCATGAAAACCAGCTTAAATCTGACTTACCTATTAGTGGCTTACTAAGTACCTAGCAGGATTTCCTAATGTAGTTGCAATGGTATTAATAATGACCATGAGTAGATACTGAAAATGGCACTGATTATAAACATTTCAAAGACATTCTTATTTTTTAAAATTCAGCAATATTTACCATTGTATGTTAAATTCCATCTCAAGAAAAACTTGGTTACCAATTCCTCGTTAAAAAAGTTTTGCTGAAATATTTTTGGTTTATTAACTTTAAAATTATGAATAGAGGGTAAGCAGTAAAAAGTCTAACTAATTTCAAGATCTAGCCCCCTATATGAAATGTGAAAGGCACAAAAGTACACAGGACGGTACCTAACTGCTGACACATTTCCAATGACAGGTGTGCTCATCTCTAGGTAATGACCTAGCCACGGAGCAAATGATACATCAACCAGTATTAGGGCGCCCTCTTGTGGACAACAGTATACTTTGCACCCATAAATCATGAAAAACCCAGCTTCAATTGATCTGTACAAAAGAACATGTGCAAAAAGAGGAATAGCACACATTAAACAAACCATGAATTATCTAAGGGGCTTCGTTGCCCACAATCTAGGAGAGTGGCAGGAGCGTCAGTATGTTAAACTGACAGCTGTTTATTCCACTGCCAAACCATCTGCCATAAAGCATCACCGACTGATCCCACAGCCTGTGCCCCACTACCGGCCAATCGTAGTCCAATTAGAACTCCAGTCATTTCCTCGCTAACAAATCTGAGCTTCCTTTTCAATACCTTCCTTTCTGCCTACCTGCCCACTTAGGCTCACATTTTCTTCTAGAATTCTCCTATTATCCACAAAGAAAGCATGGACACAAACCCCCCCTGCAGCCATCTGCTCCCTGTCCCTTCCACTCTGCATCCGGGAACCCTGTTGTGACCAACTTCATCACCTTGTCATTTTCACTAAAGTCCTCTGTCTGCAGTTGCCTCAGAGCCTCTTCAAGTGCACTTGCCTCATTCTCAAGGACGTTCTAAGAGGGCTATATTCAAATGCTGATGCGTTGCTGGGGAAGAGGCAGTCACCTTCCCACTGCGGCGGAGGACAGGGTGATGCCAGAGAGGCAGTCAGAGCAAGATTTCAGAGGATGCCAAAAAAGTTCATGATTTAGATGTGAAGGCGAGTTTAATGCATCCCTTTAAAAATTGATAATATAAAGCATTCATGATGGAGAAAATGTTAACACTTTAGTGACAGAATCACTAAACAGTATGAAGCAGAGCCACAGTGGAGACTGAGGCAAGAGGAAAACTCAGTAACGCTGATTCTTTTTTTTTTGAGTTGGAGTCTTGCTCCATTGCCCAGGCTGGAGTGGAGTGGTGCAAGCTCAGCTCACTGCAACCTCTGCCTCTTAGTTTCAAGCAATTCTCCTGCCTGAGCCTCCTGAGTAGCTGGGATTACAGGCACCCAACACCGCATCTGGCTAATTTTTGTAGTTTTAGTAGAGACCGTGTTTCACCATGTTGGCCAGGCTGGTCTTGAACTCATGACCTCAGGTGATCTGCTCACCTCGGCCTCCCAAAGTGCTGGGATTACAGGCGTGAGCCACCACGCCCGCCAGTATCATTGATCTCTGTCCAGGGCGAGTGCCCGCATTGCCTCTCTAGAGTCCTGGCCCTGCCTTTTCTGTGCTGAATTTGTGCTGCATGTTTTTCTTCTGCTGCACTGGTCCCTATGAATATTAGTCTAACAATTTCTTACCATTTTTAATCATCACATGGGCTCTAGCCCTAATTTGTTCATCTGCAAAAGTGATACAACTCCTCTTCATTCTAATCCTCAGCAAACAGATAGGAGGGTCACTGGGCCTTAACTCTACTATAGGAGCCTCCCCTAAGTGACATAAATAATCTGTCCATGTAACTACCTGGCCAGCTGAGCACCTGCCTTGGCAGTGACTTGGGGCTTAGCTCCTTCCCTCCACATTGACTGATGATCTGCTATGGGGAGAGAATCATAAGCCTGCTTAACGTGAAGTTAGCTGACAGCTAGTCTTACTTGCCTTTGGCAGTGGGAACCTGAGTCAGTGGAGGATGATACATGATGTTCTATATTAGGTATGCTACTTTTAGCATCTAGCTGATATAATTTTTCCCCAAATGATAATCTTTAGATTGTAGCCCCCTAAATCTAATGAGATATGATATGACGTTCTTTTGAAAGAATCTGCAAATTTACTTCATGATTTTTTCTAGCATTTTCCTTGATATAGGGTCAAATCTTACAAGCAAATTTTTTATAGTACCAGAAACACCTATTATTCATTTATAAAAATTTTCCACTGATAAGTTCAACCTCCATAATCATTTTGCTATTGTTAAGAGAGAACAAGAATTTGGTATCACATGAAGAGCTTTTTATTCCAGACCTGTTCATCTGTTGGCTATGATTCCTTAGGCAAATTATGCAAGCGATCAGTATGCTATTCACCTCACCTTTAAAATTGGCAGAAAGGGAGAGAAGAGAGCTAACAGAGATTTGTTCATGAACTTTAAGGAAAGAAAGCATCTCCATAAGATAGAGCTGTAAGAGGAAGAAGCAAGTGTTAACGTGGAAGCTGCAACAGGTTTCTAGAAGATGTAGCTAAGATCACTGATGAAGGTGGCTGCACCAAACAGCAGATTTTCTATGTAGACAAAGTAACTGTCTGTTGGAAGAAGATGCCATCTAGGACTTCCATTGCAAGAGAGGAAAAGTCATGCCTGCTTTCAAAGCTTTGAAGGATACACCTACTGTCTTGTTAGGAGCTAATGCAGCTGGAGACTTTAAGTTGAAGACCGTGCTCACTTACCATTTTGAAAAACTGGGCCCTTAAAAATTATGCTAAATCTACTCTGCTAATGCTCTACAGAAAACAAAATCTGGATGATAGGATATCTGTTTAATGCATGGTTTGCTGAATATTTTAAGCGCACTGTTGAGTCCTAAAAAAAAAAAGAAAGAAAAAGATTCCTTTCAAAGTATTACTGCTCATTGATAAGCACCTGGTCACCAAGAACTCTGATGGAGATGTATGAGGAGGTGAATGTTGTTCTCATGAATGCTAATGCAACGTCCATTCTGCAGTTCACGGATCAAGAAGCAATTTAGACTTTTAAGTTCTGTTATTTAAGAAATACGTTTTATTTAAATGTCAAAATATAAAAACTAACAGAAGTTTGGGAGGAAATTGATTCCAACCCTCTTTAATGACTTTGAGGGGTTCAAGGCTTCAGTGGAGGAAGTAACTGCAGATGTGGAAATAGCAAGACACCTAGCATGAGCAGTGGAGCCTGAAGATGTGACTGAGTTGCCGCACTCTCATGATCAAGCTTTAATCAATGGGGAGTTGCTCCTTACAGATGAGCAAAGTGGTTTCTTGAGATGGAATCTACTCCTGCTGAAGATGCTGTGAACATTGTTGAAATGGCAACAAAAGATTTAGAATATTCTGTAAATTGTTGATAAAGCAGTGGCAGGGTTTGAGAGAATTGACTCTAATTTTGAGAAAAGTTCTGTGAGCAAAATACTGTCAAACAGCATTCAAGCTACATATAAATCTTTCCTGAAAGGAAGAATCAACCAACACAGCAAACTTCATTATTGTCTTATTAAGAAATTGCCTCAGTCACCCCAACCTTCGGCAACCAACACCCTGATCAGTCACCGGCTGTCAACATTGAGGCAAGACCTTCATTAGCAAAAAGATTACAACTCACTAAGGCTCAGATTATATTAGCATTTTTGATCAATGAAGTATTTTTAAATTAGGGTTGGGACATCGTTTTTTAAGACATAATATTATTGCACACTTAAGACACTACAACATAGCATAAACACAACTTTTAGATACCCTGGGAAACTAAAACATTTGTGTAACTCTCTTTATTCTGGTGGTCTGGAACCAAACCCGCAGCATCCTTGAGGCATGGCCTGTATTACGGTTAGGATTGCAATTTCAGTTTTAGAGATCGTGAACCTAGGACACAAATACATGACTCAAAATCAGTTATAAAACTCAGGTTTTCTCACATGTAATTCAGCTAAGAGAAGAATACAGTCTTCGGATTCTTCAAGATAAAAAGTATGTCACTTCCTAGTGAATTACCTTTTATTGCATCTTACCTAGAAATTGTTGCCTGTCTGAGCGACGCTTCAGACTCAGCTTCAGCAGGTCTTCAGGGACATCAGGTAGGCTGGCCACCTCTTGGTACGTCTCAATGGCTGCGCGTAGCACCTCATTGCTTCTCCTCCTTTCAGCCAAATCGTCCTCACACTAGAAGTAGTCCCCAGATTGAACAAATGTCCCATGAATAGCTGTGTTTGTAATATTCATAAAAAGTTAACTTTTGGACATGCTTTAAAAGAAATGTAAGACATGTTAGCCTTTTCTCCTTATCAAGAGGTAAAAAGACTAACAGAAGACAGAAAATCAACACACTATTTTAATAATACAAAGAAAAGTTTGTTACTAAAGACAAGAAGGAATGTCATAAAAGCAGGACTAATGCATGCTGGGCTGATGGAGATGTACATCCTAATATGCACTGACATTATACAGGCAGGTCTCCAGTCCAAGCTCCTGTTCTTTCATTAATTTATTCGTGTATGCATTCATTCATTTAACAACTGTTTTCTGGGAGAGAGGCACCCTTCTACAAATGTGGCAGACAAATTGAACAAAACAGACAAAGCCCTTTTTGATTTCTACTTTGCATCCACTTTTGAAAGGTGGCAAATATAATAAACAAAGGTACTGTGTGTCTAACAGCCATAAGTGCAATGGATAAAAACAAAGCAGGCTTAGGAGAGCTGGGTGGGATGGTAAGAAGTTGCTCATTTAATCAGGATGATGAGGATGGCCTGAAAGAAGAGAGGGAGCAAGTTATGAAGATACCCTGGGCAGTAGCCTTCCAGGCAGGGAAAAGAGCAAGAACAATGCAATGGCTTGGAGGCAGGAGATCGAGGAAAGGTGGTGCCATGGAAAGGACGAAAGGGAAGACCAACAAGGGCTATTAGGCAATGCAGGGCCTGGCAAGCTACTGACAGTTCTAGTACACAAAGTGAGACGGAAAGACAGTGGGGCTTCTGAAACGATCTGATGTATGTGTTGAAGGGACCGTGGTGGCAGCCGTATGGAGAACAGACTGGGAAGCTGGGAGAGTAGAATACTCCAGCAGGAATCCGGGTGTGGGATGATTATGGCTGGGACTAAGGTAGCAGTAATGGAAGTGGTAACAAGTGGTTGGACTACAGATATGTTTTGAAGGTCAGAGCCAACAGATTTGCTGATGTTCTAAATGTACAGTGTGAGACAAGAAACCAAGGGGAGCAAGGTTTCGGCTTCAGTGATTACTGGATAAACTGTTATTCCTTGAGAATGAGAAGACAGGGCAGAAGCAGGTTTGGGGCAGTATGGAATCAGGAGTTTCATTTTAGACACATTAAACCTAAAATGCGTATAAGTTATCCAAATGGAGCTATTGACCAGGAAGGGGCATATATGAGTCTGGAGTTCAGGAGGAAGGTTAGAGTAAGAAACATAAGTATGGGAATCATCAGGGATGAAGATGGTATGCAAAGCTAGGAAGCTAGAAGTAGTCGAGAGTGTAGACAGAGAACAGAAGCGGCTCAGGAACTGAATCCTAGGGAACTCCAATGTTTCAAGGTCAGTAGAGATCAGGATAACAAGGGAAGACCAGCAAAAAGGAGGGAGCATGGGAGTACGGGAGGTTCAAGAGAACAGGGGATGGAAGGAGGTGGAGATAACTCTTTCAAGGAATTTCACAGAAAGGAGAGCAGAAAAGTCGGCCAGCCGGCAGAGGGCAACGTGCAGACACGGGGAGTTCTTTAAGGATTGGAAATAGTACGGCATGTTTCCAAGGAGATGCAAAAGACTGTAGGGAGGGAAAATCTGATGATGCAGAAGGAGACACAAAAATTAGAGGGATGTCCTTCAGCAGGTGAGAGAGGAACAGGGACCAAATAGTCCATCTGTGCTAACAGGAGGGAAGGCAGAGCATATGGGCACAGGTAGAGGATGGCTGTTAGCAAAGCAGCATCATCATGTGGAAATTCTCTGGATACTTCCATTTTCTTAGTGAAATAAGAATCAACATTCTTAGCTGGAAACAGAATGGGGAGTAAAATACTGGAGGCAGGAAGAGAGAGGAGATGTAAGAGGCTACAATCTGAAGACTATCACTTAAGGAAAAATTTTTCTAGCTAACACTAAAAGTAGCACACATTTTTTTTTTCTCAGAATATTTAAACATGTTTATGTTGTTACAGTGTGTGCTGTAGTTAACATACAGATGTCTGCAGAACCAAAATAAAGTATCACTCTACAATTTGAGGGCATGGTAAGAAAATTACCCATCCTTCCCATATTCCGAAGGAAAAAAAAAACAAATAACAAACAAAAAAATCCTAAGAATTAGCACAAATTGACAAAATAAGACAACTATGTTTTTTTTCCCACAAAATAACACATCAATGATATTACTTGATAATATGAACTGATTAGGACACGTTTCCCAAAGCGAAGAGGGCTAGAATTAAAGCAGTAGTGATAGAAGTGGACAGATTTATGAGAAAGGAAACTTGGTAGGATAAAAATCTCTAGATTAGAAAAGGCAGTTCACCCTTGCTAAATGGATATATGCTCCAGACCATTCACTATCTTTGAAAGTCTGTAGATGGTCTCCAGAATAGACTTATCCACCAGGAGAGAAAGTCCAGTGTCAATGACCCACACTGATCATGATGCCGACATGGCCATAGGCATCAGCTCCTTGTGAGTTTTGTTATATTGAGTTAACTCCCCAGAATATGACTGTTGATAGATGACTTTGCGGAAATACAGAGTTCTAGACCTGAGACTCCTTTGAAACCATCCTAAGTTGAAGTTATGATGGGGGTGGTGTGGGGATCGTAAGTTGAAGTTACACCCCACTGTAAGTTGAAACACTGTAAAGTCAAAAATGCATTAAATATACATAACCTACTGAACATCATAGCTTAACATAGCCTACATTATATGTGCTCAGAAAACTTCATCAGCCTACATGTATGCAAAATTACCTAGCACAAAGCCTATTTTATAATAAAATGTCGACTATCTCATGTAATTTATTGGATACTATACTGAAGTACGGTTTCTTCTGAATGTGTATCACTTTCACACCATTATAAAGTTGAAAAATTGTTAAGAAAAAACATTGTAAAATGTAAACCATCTGTGGTTCACTCTCTTCATTTTGAACCTACAAAGTGCTCAAAAAGATCCTGGATCTGGAGGTCTCTGCAGCATCAGTGGGAGACAAATGCCTACCAAGGTAATCCTTCTTTATTGAGACTGGAATAAATATCTTTAAATTCAATCTGAAAAGTGAGAGAGATGGTACAATCTGTATGCCTTGTCCCCTCTCTGGTGCCCCAAGGTCCTTTGTTTTAATGAAACATTAACATTTACAACTTGCAGAATTGGAAAAATATCACTACTAAAATGGTACATAATTCTTTATAATCTCTTGAATAAAACTGATAGGCACTTGCATTGAAAAGTCTAGAGATTGATTTTTATCAGTTTAGCATCTGTAGATAAAACAAGCTGAGCTGAAACTGAATATTTGTTACAGGACGTTAATATTGAAAAGCCTTTTGTTGACTCTAGCTAATTCACCCAACCAGGCTTTCTATGAGGTGTATCATTTTCTGCCTCAAAGGCATTAATGGTTAGTGAAAGGTAATAAAGAGAATTGAGTTTACATTTTAAGATTTTGTGTCCAATGTTCAAGGAACTTGACCAAAATTGATTTTTGGTGATATGAAGAATAAGACAGTATCAGTGCTACTTTAGAAATAATAGATACTATAGTTTACAGGTGACTTAAGGTTGCTAAAATTTAAAAATTTGTTGGAATATTCCAAAGTAACTGTTTAATCTACTAACAAAAAATAAAGAAGTCATAATTTATTTCTCCTTATAAAACCCATCTTCTGTTGAATTTTTATTTTTAAAACTACTATGAATTTGAAGTACCTTTAATTACTCAATTAAAATTTAATTTACCATGCCTAAATTTTTCTGTATGCCACATTAATATTAATAGCAATAACACATTGGAGCATAATAGCTTAGAGATAAAAGATACTGACTGAAGCCTAAATCTCAAATTTCTACTGTGAAATATGGATATACAGTCATCCTCAGTTATATACAGGAGATTAGTTTTAAGACCACAGCCACCACTGCCCCACTACAATACCACAGTCTGCAGATGCTCAGGTTCCTGATATAAAATGGTATAGTATTTGCATATTGCCTCTGCATATCCTCCTGATTAATTTAAATCATTGCTAGATTACTTATTATATCTAATATAAGGTAACCTGTATGTAAATGGATGTTATAGTGTATCATTTTTATTGGCATTTTTATTGTTGCATTGCTATTTTTTATTTTTTTCCAAATATTTTCAATCTGTGGTGAATTTTATCCACGGATATGAAACATGAGGACTGGGGGGCTGACTATAAACACAGCAATCACATTGTTTCAAGAGCACTTCATCTATTTAGACTTTGGTACTCACATTAGTATTACATATAAGAAAAGCTTCTAAAGTATAAAACATTTTTGCCAAAATTAAATTAGCATTTGTTTAAATCATTTCTCCCTCTAGTTAATATGCTTCTCTTAATGAAATGACTTAATACCAATCAGAAAAAAACACTACTTATTTGAATAGGCATGATCTTTTGGTAACAAACACACTCTCTCACTTAATAGCAATATGATTTGGCAATTTTAGAGAATTACTGATCAAATTATACAAGTCAAACAGTTGCTATATGCTAAAGTTGGTCTGTACCAAGGACAAGAGGAACTTATCTGCATCAATTTTTCACAAATTTAATTAAAATCAAATTAGTAAAAATTATATTAATTACTTTTTAATGGGGATGTAAGAAGACACTGAGCATCTGGATCTCAAGTCGTCACCACCTTTAGTTCAGAACAAACTTCACTTGTTTTCTCTACAGCTGAGCTACTTCCTGTGTGTGTCCTGCACAAATGTCTGCATGGACCTTCTCCAGAGGGGTGCTGTCAGCTTCACCTCTGTCTGGAAAATTTCTGCACTCCCAGCCTACCATTTCCCAGCAGGGTTGGCGATCTGGACCTCTAGGCAGGGCTACTGGAGCTTCACTGCCTGGCACACTTTGATATCCTGCCCTGGCTCTTCCTCCAATTTCCAGGCTCTGGGAATCCAGTGGTCTACTTGACATGTCCAACTGAATGTCTAAGAGAATGTATTGCAAGCTTAATAAGACCAATAGCAAACTCCAGAACTCTTGACTTCTGCATCACTCCTGAGTTGCTCTTCCTGGTCAGTAACCGGCATTATCCTTTCCTCAGCTGGCTAAACCAAAAACTCAGGGGTCAGCCTTGAGTCCTCTTCCTCTGACACTTTTACATCTAATCCATCCTCAAGTTCTTTCAGCTCCACCACCTGCCCACTTCCCTCATCTCCATGGCCATGACCACAGTCTGAGCCACCAGCATCTCTTGGTATACTTGCAATAGCCTTCTATTCTTCTCCCATCTACTTTTGCCCCCATAATCCATTTTCCACTCAGCAACCAAAGCAAGCTTGACAAAAAACAACCAGACTGTCATGCCCATGCATAAAACCCTCCCACGGCTTCCCAGCACATGTAGAATAAAAACTGCAAGGCCCTAGCCTCCTTGATTCTCCTTTTCCTTCCCCCAGCATGGCCTTCTTTCTCTCCTCAGGCTATCCTAAGATTGGTTTCCTGCCTCAAAGCCTTTGACTTGCTGCTCCCTCTTGCCTGGACAGCTCCTTCTATTAATATAACCTCCTCACATCTCAGCCACATGTTGCCTCCCTAGAGAGTCCTTTTCTGCCCACCTTGTCTAAAGTGCTGTCTGCCCCATCACTTTCAACCATGTTACTTGCAGTCAAAAAAATCTTAATAGGTATGCCCTTTATTCCATTACCTTTTCTTCTTTTCTTCACAGCATGTCTTATCAGGTAAGATGATCTAACGTATTTATTCTTAATACTTTATAACGTTCTTTAAGTATGTATTTATTTATAAAGACTTTCAGGGCTTGGCTCAAATGTCACCTCCTTGATGAGAACTTTCCCTGCCACCCTTCACACCTCGTCAACCCTCTCGCACATCTACTGGCTCTTCCTTGCTTTCTTGTTCCTCTCCATAGCACTTGGCTCTAGTAAGCATATACATTGGACTTATTTGTCTTATGCATTGTCTTTCCCTTTGCAATGGAAACCCCATAAGCTCAGGGGTTTTTAAAATACGTTCTGTTGATGGCTGGATCTCTACTGCCTGGTACATAGTGGGCTCTCACTAAATATTCTTTAAGTAATTAAAAAAAAAAACTTCCACTAGAATCCACAGGAGCATTCATTGTATTGTATTGTAATTATTTTTAAATTTTCTGTGTATATGATGTTTTGAAATCTTAAAAAACCTCTCTGGCTAGAAAGAGATTTCCCTGAGCTAGACAATTCTGACATGACCAGTGCTCAGCCAGGAGCATGCAAACTAACCAATCCAGAGCCATGTCTCCTGTATTTTAATCATCTCAGGGCCAGGTAACACCCCTGTAGGCAAAAGGTGGCTGAAATTATTCAAACCAGCCAGTCCAAAACTATTCACCCTACCATACCTTGCCTTTACCATAGAAACCTCAATAAAGGCTGTGGCCAATCCTTCCCCTTGCTCTTGCCTGCCATGCCCTGATCACCTTGAGTCCTTCCCATGTAGCCCTGTGTGGCATGCTGGGTGGGTCTCCTGTCTCTAGGACTTGTGAGCATAATAAGCTTTGCTTTTCCCCAATCCTGTCCTGTGAGACCTCTTGTAGCGGCATTTGACCAACCATCTCATGAAAGAATACAAAACAGACATTCCTAGGGCGTAAAACACTGATACACAGTAGGTTTATGCAGTTATAGGTGAACAGGCACGTTTCATGAAAGAAGTTGGAAACTAGAGAGTGCTGGACAAGAAACACGATGGTGGGAGATGAGGATAAAAGTAGCTGCTAAAAAATGAGTCTGGTGAAAGAAACTATGGAGGAAAAAAGTATGTTCCATTTTATATTTTAGAAAGGTATTTCCTAAGCTTACTTGCAACGTCCAGTTTTAAAACTGAGTCTGAAAGCTCTAAGGAGCCTCAAATGAACACTGTATAGTGGAATTAGATGAAATGGGACATGAGGGGATGGTAAATCAATGACAAAAGTGTTACTCTTTATTTTCTTTTCAAAACCAGAGAGAAGGCATACGAAGGGGGAGCAGAAAAAAAAATTTACTAAATTCAGCAGCATGCAATAGCGATAATTAATTGTGTTTCTGCTCGGGTTTATGCATATACATGAGAAACTGATTCTGTGTAGAAATTAGAAAGGTAAAAGAGCAAATGCAAATAGTAAGGAGTAAAAAATCTAATTACACAGAACGCATCAACATCAAAAAAGTGTCCTAAGGAGAAGAATCTCAGAATACCTGTGCCTTCCCATATCTTGCCCGTGGACTCTGAGGGTATTTGCGTACTAGTTCTTTAAATGCATTCACTGCTTCCTCAATTTTTCCCTGTTAGACAAAATTACATAAAGTAAATTAAAATGCATAATCAATCAATATTTTTATTTAATATTCAGCAAGTGATTTTGTCAGAATTTCCTAGATTCATTCCCGAGTATATAGTTTTATTTAAGATTTTACTAGTTTAAGGCAAACAGAAAACTAGTAATGAGTATATATTTACTCAGTTTTTAAAAAGACAGGCACCTGGCCAGGAGGGTGGCTCATGCCTGTAATCCCAGCACTTTGAGAGGCTGAGGTGGGTGGATCACCTGAGGTCAGGAGTTCAATACCAGCTTGGTCAACATGGCAAAACCTCATCTCTACTAAAAATACAAAAATTAGCTGGGTGTGGTGGCATGTGCCTGTAGTCCCAGCTACTTGGGAGGCTAAGGCAGGAGAATCACTTGAACCTGGAAGGTGGAGGTTGCAGTGAGCCGAGATCATGCCACTGCACTCCAGCACAGGTGACAGAGTGAGACTCTGTCTCAAAAAAACAAATAAAGACAGACACCTGATAAATGATGCAACATGTGATTTTGCTAAAGAAATTGAATTTTCCTTCAATATACGTACACTTTCTACCTGTGTTCTCAAGGAATATTGTATTAGTCTGTTTTCACACTGCTGTAAAACATACCAGAGACTGGATAATTTATAAAGGAAAGAGGTTTAATTGAACCACAATTAAAGGCTGGGGAAACCTGAGGAAGCTTACAATCATGGCTGAAGGCAAAGGGAAAACAAGGACCTTCCTCACATGGTGACCAGAGAAAGAAGAGTGAGAAGTGAAGGGGGAAGAGACCCTTATAAAACCATCAGATCTCATCTGTGTAAGTGAGAACTCGCTCACTATAATGAGGACAGCATGAAGGAAACTGCTCCCATGATCCAGTCACCTCCTACCAGGTCTCTCCTTAGGCACATGGGAATTATGGGGATTATAATTTGAGATGAGATTTGGCTGGGGACACAGCCAAACCAAACTTCCACCCCAATCCCTCCAAAATTTCATATCCTCACATTTCAAAACACAATGATATCTTTTCAACAGTTCCCCAAAGGTTTAATTAATTCCAGCATTAACCCAAAGTCCAAGACCAAAGTCTCATCTGAGACAAGGCACGTCCCTTCTACTTAGAAGCCTGCAAAATCAAAAGCAAATTAGTTACTTCTAAGATACAATGGAGGTACAGGCATTGAATAAATGCTGTCATTCAAAATGGGAGAAATTGGTCAAAACAAAGGGGCTATAGGCCCCATGCAAGTCTGAAATCCAGTGTGGCAGTCATTAAGTTTTAAAGATCTGAAATCATCTTCTTTGACTCCATGTCTCACATCCAGGTCACGCTGATACAAGTGGTGGGCTCCCATGGTCTTGGGTAGCTCCACCCCTGTGGCTTTGCAGGGTATGGTCTCCTCCCAGCTGCTTTCATGAACTGCTATTGAGTGTCTGTGGCTTTTCCAGGCACATGATACAAGCTGGTGGATCTACCATTCTGCGGTCTGGAGGATGGGGGCCCTTTTTCTCACAGTTCCACTAGGTAGTGCCCCAGTGGGGACTCTATGTGGAGACTCCCAGCCCCACATTTCCCTTCTATACTGCCCTAGCAGAGGTCCTCCATGAGGGCTGCACCTGTGCCACAAACTTCTGCTTGGACATCCAGGCAATCCCATACATCCTCTGAAATCTAGGCAGAGGTTCCCAAACCTCAATTCTTGACTTCTGTATACCCACAGGCCCAGTATCAAAATCTATTTTAGTCTTCTATGGCCTCTGTAACAAACTACCACAAACTTTGTGGCTTAAAACAAGAGAACTTTGTTCTCTCACAGTTCTGCAGAACAGATTATCCAAATTAGTTTCTCTGGGCTGAAATCAAGATGGTAGCAGGGCTGTGTTCTCTCCAGAGGCTCCACAGGAATATTTTTTCTTGTCTCTTGCCAGTATTTCTTGATTTGTCGACGGATCACTCCAATGTCCAATTCTGTTTTCATACTGCCATCTCCTCTATGTGTGCTGCTTTTTATTTTGTCTGCATCAAATTTCTCTCTGTCCCTCTCTTATGAGGAAACATGATTGCATTTAAGGCCAACTGGGTAATCCAGGATAAATCTCTCTATATCTCAAAGTTCTTAATCATATCTGCAAAGATCCATTTCCAAAAACATAACATTTAAAGGTTCCAGAAACATATCTTTTGGGGTCCATTTTCAGACCAGTATGCAACTCATGCAATTTAAATTGCAAATGTCAAAGCTATTTCAATGAAAATTGTGCCAAATGTACTCTTATCAGACTTAAAACATTAGAATAACAATGTTCATAACAAATTTGATAAGATGTGATGTTCCTGCTTGACACTGTCAAGGCTATTAAAATAATGGGCTATTTTGGCTCTCTCTGCGGCATCCTTTGAATCCCTGCAAGACAGAGGCTCTGTGACTTTCCTGAGGGGTCATAAATTTTGCCTTTACTTCAACTGGCTGGCCAAACATGTTTACTTTTAATCTGAAAGAATTTCCTTTCCCTAGGTTCTTATATAGCTCCTAACACTATTGTTCAATTCTTATTTAAAAACTCAATTGCAAGACATACGGTTTAAAGAATTGCCTGAAAATGATCTGTTCAACATAGCTGATAATTATGTCCTAGGACCAAGACACTTCATGGGATAGACATGCATGTGGGCCATGCTGTGTTGGCATGAGGCCAATGGGCTGTGCTGAAGGACAATAAGATATATTCCTGCAGCTGCACAGAATAATCCACTGAGATGATGTCAGGGGAAAAATAGGAAGTTTTGCACCCATCAGTGTGCCTTTTATGAAGATCTACAGCCAAATGTTTATTTCTGGACTTGGAGCAGAGCAGCTCTTCTGATGAACTATGTTAATCTTATCTTCTGATTCTGTTTTCCATGTTTTCCCTCGAGGAAGTCTTGATTTCAATCTTCGCAAGGTTTAGGGCCTGTGGTGTGAACTTTCAGGTGTTTGGTTACATTTTCTTTACTCTCTCCCCGCCTTTTTAAAAATTACTTACAATGCTGTAATAATAAATGATTCCAACAAAATAGCAAATATATCTCAGTATATCATTTCAAAACCTTTTTCCAGAGGTGGGGAAGCATTTTAAACAATAAATATATGTATTTTTTTAAATAGAGGATTGGAATATAATCTGATCTATACTTTTCTGAGGGGGATAAAAAGTGAACACATGTTTTCATGTAACATAGTCCTTGAACCTGAGTCATGAAATGAGGCTGCACTCTCTCTGCGTCAGGTGTGTGTTAGTTGGCCTCGGCTGGTCCAGTGCACGAAGGTGCATCCTCTGAAAATACTAGCCATAAAAACAACCCTAAAAGACTGAATTATGCTGATAAGTCAGTCAATCACAGCTCCCTGTTGTTTCAGAAGCAAGAATTGCATATGTGGCTACTTCTTCCTCTTTTATTTCCCTGGTATAAATTCAAGGTACTCCTTGAGAAAAATAGAACTTCTCCAAAGGAGCAACACTGCCGAATACCCCATAACTGATCCCTTCTTTACCATTCATATAATTACATTAAAATCCTTCTCTAAAGCTGTTCATATGTTTTTTACATGGAAAGTCACCTGTGCAATAGGCACTCCCATTTTTACATATGGCATTTAGTATAGAGAAAATGCCAAAGGAGGTGACAGAAAAAGATTATTGCTTCATTACTATTAAGAAATACAAACTAACCACAAACAGTAGATGGCTTCACTTTAAAGTTAAATAAGACAGTTAAATTTCTTGTTTACTATCAGAAAGTAGGAATCATTCCACATGGTTAGATTTAAGGGAAGTGAACAATGACTTTGCTGCAATATTCTTTGGAGTTACTATATTTTTATTGGCTGTTGAATTGGGTGAGCCGAGCCTTGCCTAATGCCAGTTCTAAGAGTCTTTACGCTTGTTGTTACACTTTCAATAAACATGCAGACATACATTCTTGTCCCATTTTAGTTCCTAACGAATGTTTCTATTGTTGTTTGCTTACAGTCCACTTGTTCTTTTTTTTTTTTTTTGACGGAGTTTCGCTCTTGTT